GTTAAATGTATATTTAAAATATAAAACAAACAATGAAAAATAAGAACAAAACTGTTTTTAACATACTGTATGCCAGCATTCACACTGGAACTGGCATCATGCAATGGGTATTTCACTAAAAACAAAGTGGCCTTGTGATAAACTATAGCTGTACTACAACCCAGCAAATTTAAAACTAGCCAGTTTCAAATATAACTGGTTTTCTGGTACTTCCAGATTTCTGAAAGCTGGATATTTAGTCCAATAAATCATCTACTAAACTCCAAATACAAAAATCCATATGAAAGCTATGCAAACAATTGCAATATGAAATGTATTGCAAATAAAGAAATTAAGAACTGTGAGCATGCAAGAAAAGTAGATAATCAAAGAACTAACAATACATTTAAACAGATGAACCAATGTTCAGAAAGAAGGCATAATCTGTTATGTTAGTCAAATTTNATAATATATTATAATTTTTATAATTAATAATTTTGTCTTTAATCCTTTTACACATTTTAAACTTAATCGATTTCATAATATAGGTCATGTGAAACTATTAATAAAAGCTACATATTAAAAAGCTTCACATGGTCTACAAATCATACTTAATTTTAAGTGATTTGTTTTGATGTTTCGACCCAAATAATGTGTCAAATAAAGTGTCTCTCATTTTAAAACAAAAAATATGCTGTTATTATTCTTTAAAATGACATGCTGATTGATTAAATGTAACAAAAATAACTGTAAAAAATTTCTTAAAAGAAACAGAATTTGTAGAGAATTAAAGTAATTGAAATAGTATCACAAATAAATGTGTAGCTATTTATGATAGATTAATTATGAGTAATTTAGACCATAATTCAACTTAACTTTTTGTAAATAATTAAATTTGAAATATAAGTTACAGGAAATAACAAAAACATTAAATAAACTTTATAAAACAATTAAATGAAGAAGGATAAAAATAAAGGCTTTAACTATGTAACTATGTAACAGTTAAAACACTTTTAGTAAATTATAAGTAGTTTAAATAATGCAAAATAAATTAAAACATTAACAATGTGAGTATTTCTTAATTATTTTTGAGCAAATGAGCAATGAATTAAATTTCTCAAATGACAAAATTAATTTCAGACTTTAATTATTACATATTAAAATCAGCTATAATGAATAAGTTTTCTAAGTTATTTTTCTCCTCGTGAATTTTACTGAATCTCATTTTTCAAGCAAATTGAGTATTTATCTAAAATTTAATTATGATAAAATTATGTAAATTTTTTACAGTTATAATTTAAAATTACTAAATTATTTTTCATTCTAAAACCTTCAGACAGCAATTGGAAAGATTAATATCAAAATTGGGTAAAAGTACAAAATAACTAAAATATTAAAACTTTTTTAAACTACTTATTGAAATAATAAGTAATAAAATAATTTTTACTTGATCACTATTTTATTACAATAATGATAGTGTTATAATAAAAAATAAAAAGATTTATTTGCTTATAATCATACAGATAAATCAGGATTTTCATCATTAATTATACATTTTCACACTATTTATAGTGTTCAAAATAAAACATTAAGAAAAATAACTGAAAATCAGATTCTTATTTTTTTTGTAATAACTTATTTTTATTGGACAGTTGTCATATAAGTAATAATATCTTCATATCACTGTTAAAAAATAAAAGATAAAAATAGAAAATAATTTATAAGAAAAAATGAAAGTTTCCCATATTACATCTTAATATAAATCAACCAATCAAAACTAACTAAATGATATACATGTTTTGAATATCATGGAATGAAAACAAAAATTTTAAACTTTTTGAATGTAAGATAATTTTAACAAATGAACAATATTTGTAATGACAGGTACTGGCTAGTTATTCTGAAGGAAATTCTATCAGAATAAGAAAGAGTACAATTTGTAATTACTATTTTAAAAAGTATATTTAAAAATAGCTCATTTATTTAAAGTAATTGCATATAATGCTATTATGAAATGAATGATTTATGTATATATACAAATTTCAGTCTATAAAATATTTAAAGTTCATCACCAAATTCAAAACTATATAATAATTGCATTATTTTTATTTTTGCTGATGCTCTTTTCTGTGGTGAAAGCCTCTTCAATGAATGTGATAAACTCATACAAAATAAATCATTTTCATCATACTGTTTTGGAATTATATCACCATTTATTCCTAGAGTCTGCCATCCAATTTCATTAGAAACATTCAAGTCTGGAGAATGTCTTTTTCGTTTGCCTTTAGCTTGCTGACAGTTGCTATCAGATGATTCTAAATCAAAAAATTTAATATTTATTAACAACAATATATTTAAAAAAATAAATCCTTCTATTATAAAATTGTTGTAATTGAAATTTATTCAAACTATGACACAAAAAGATTAAAGAATATCATTTAATATTTATGATACATTTCATTGATATCTTAATGATATCATGCTAATCAATTATTTTCAGTATTTTTTTTATTATTATTATAATACTGATATTCCAAAGCTTTAAAGGATTTTTAAAAGTTTGCAAATATTTAATTTATTTTTTTAGGTAAATAAATCAAACTATAATATAAACAAATGATTTGAACTTATCAAAAATATAATTACTCATTCCTAATCAATTTTTAATCATTNAATCTTCATATTTAGTAAAATTTATTTAAACAATTTTAGGTAAGTATTATTAAACTTTTTTTAACTGTAGGTATTACTTACCTACAAATAATTATTCCATTCATTAAAATGATGAATGAAATACAGCAATATCTCAGTACTTGAACAATTCAGTAATCAAACACAAATTCTAGAAAAAGTTGCTCAGTACTCAACTGAACAAATTTTCAATTAATAACATATTTTTATTTTGTCATCCATAAAAATTTTTATGATAAAAATAAACAATACGAAAATGTTGCTGACACTTCTGGAGTCTGGATCAAGATCAATAAAATAGCTGAGAATTTTCATCTCATTGTATTTTGTAAAAAGAAGTTGCCCTTGTTTAACTAAAATTAATATTAATGCATAATACAGTACTTTTAATTGTGATTGTTAATTAATTACTGATTGGAAATAAATTATCGATTGCTTTAATAAACATAATTCTCTTAGTAACAAAAAAGAATAGTATACTTTTGCAAACTTCTGAAACATAACTATGTTTTGCATTAATCCTTTGTTTCATATAGTATGGATTCGCATAACATAGCACTTTTTTAGAATATAACTACCATGTTATATGTGGGATACCTGTGTATATATATATTAGAATATACAAAATGTGAAAGTATTAAAGATTTGATAATAATAATAATAACAACAATGTTATTGAGATTCCATAATAAAGAAAAGAAATAGCAAATAAAATATTTAAGCAAACCATGTTTTTATTTTGAATAATACAATAGAACCAAATATCTGGTAAGCTTAGAACTAGAAGGGGTCTGGATTTCTGAATCTTCTAATTTTCTGGACACAAGTTAAATGTATATTTAAAATATAAAACAAACAATGAAAAATAAGAACAAAACTGTTTTTAACATACTGTATGCCAGCATTCACACTGGAACTGGCATCATGCAATGGGTATTTCACTAAAAACAAAGTGGCCTTGTGATAAACTATAGCTGTACTACAACCCAGCAAATTTAAAACTAGCCAGTTTCAAATATAACTGGTTTTCTGGTACTTCCAGATTTCTGAAAGCTGGATATTTAGTCCAATAAATCATCTACTAAACTCCAAATACAAAAATCCATATGAAAGCTATGCAAACAATTGCAATATGAAATGTATTGCAAATAAAGANATGTGAAACTATTAATAAAAGCTACATATTAAAAAGCTTCACATGGTCTACAAATCATACTTAATTTTAAGTGATTTGTTTTGATGTTTCGACCCAAATAATGTGTCAAATAAAGTGTCTCTCATTTTAAAACAAAAAATATGCTGTTATTATTCTTTAAAATGACATGCTGATTGATTAAATGTAACAAAAATAACTGTAAAAAATTTCTTAAAAGAAACAGAATTTGTAGAGAATTAAAGTAATTGAAATAGTATCACAAATAAATGTGTAGCTATTTATGATAGATTAATTATGAGTAATTTAGACCATAATTCAACTTAACTTTTTGTAAATAATTAAATTTGAAATATAAGTTACAGGAAATAACAAAAACATTAAATAAACTTTATAAAACAATTAAATGAAGAAGGATAAAAATAAAGGCTTTAACTATGTAACTATGTAACAGTTAAAACACTTTTAGTAAATTATAAGTAGTTTAAATAATGCAAAATAAATTAAAACATTAACAATGTGAGTATTTCTTAATTATTTTTGAGCAAATGAGCAATGAATTAAATTTCTCAAATGACAAAATTAATTTCAGACTTTAATTATTACATATTAAAATCAGCTATAATGAATAAGTTTTCTAAGTTATTTTTCTCCTCGTGAATTTTACTGAATCTCATTTTTCAAGCAAATTGAGTATTTATCTAAAATTTAATTATGATAAAATTATGTAAATTTTTTACAGTTATAATTTAAAATTACTAAATTATTTTTCATTCTAAAACCTTCAGACAGCAATTGGAAAGATTAATATCAAAATTGGGTAAAAGTACAAAATAACTAAAATATTAAAACTTTTTTAAACTACTTATTGAAATAATAAGTAATAAAATAATTTTTACTTGATCACTATTTTATTACAATAATGATAGTGTTATAATAAAAAATAAAAAGATTTATTTGCTTATAATCATACAGATAAATCAGGATTTTCATCATTAATTATACATTTTCACACTATTTATAGTGTTCAAAATAAAACATTAAGAAAAATAACTGAAAATCAGATTCTTATTTTTTTTGTAATAACTTATTTTTATTGGACAGTTGTCATATAAGTAATAATATCTTCATATCACTGTTAAAAAATAAAAGATAAAAATAGAAAATAATTTATAAGAAAAAATGAAAGTTTCCCATATTACATCTTAATATAAATCAACCAATCAAAACTAACTAAATGATATACATGTTTTGAATATCATGGAATGAAAACAAAAATTTTAAACTTTTTGAATGTAAGATAATTTTAACAAATGAACAATATTTGTAATGACAGGTACTGGCTAGTTATTCTGAAGGAAATTCTATCAGAATAAGAAAGAGTACAATTTGTAATTACTATTTTAAAAAGTATATTTAAAAATAGCTCATTTATTTAAAGTAATTGCATATAATGCTATTATGAAATGAATGATTTATGTATATATACAAATTTCAGTCTATAAAATATTTAAAGTTCATCACCAAATTCAAAACTATATAATAATTGCATTATTTTTATTTTTGCTGATGCTCTTTTCTGTGGTGAAAGCCTCTTCAATGAATGTGATAAACTCATACAAAATAAATCATTTTCATCATACTGTTTTGGAATTATATCACCATTTATTCCTAGAGTCTGCCATCCAATTTCATTAGAAACATTCAAGTCTGGAGAATGTCTTTTTCGTTTGCCTTTAGCTTGCTGACAGTTGCTATCAGATGATTCTAAATCAAAAAATTTAATATTTATTAACAACAATATATTTAAAAAAATAAATCCTTCTATTATAAAATTGTTGTAATTGAAATTTATTCAAACTATGACACAAAAAGATTAAAGAATATCATTTAATATTTATGATACATTTCATTGATATCTTAATGATATCATGCTAATCAATTATTTTCAGTATTTTTTTTATTATTATTATAATACTGATATTCCAAAGCTTTAAAGGATTTTTAAAAGTTTGCAAATATTTAATTTATTTTTTTAGGTAAATAAATCAAACTATAATATAAACAAATGATTTGAACTTATCAAAAATATAATTACTCATTCCTAATCAATTTTTAATCATTATAATAATGGTTAAAAATTATCAAAATACACACTCCATATAAACTAATACACTAAAATAAAAAATGTAATAAAATAATGCTTTATCAATAAGTACATTCTTTCTGTTTAATTTAGATTATTTTTAAACCTACAATTATTTTTTTAAGTAAAAACATTAAAATATAATTAAAACTTATATTACAAAAAGTTTCTAAATAAAATTTGTCATACAAATTTATGTTAGATATTGAAAAACTAAATAATTTAAAACAGAAAATTAACTTAAGCTTAGTTCACACTAAGCATGATTTGCTGGTGAAAGCAAAAAACATGAACTACACATTAGGCATGGCATCATTTCCAGCAAATTTTACCATTTCATGAATCACTTTGATGTTTGGAACTGTCAAAGTTTTTCGCTAGCAAAAAATTGTGCCTCCAATTGTATTCCTGCTAGTTGCCACATGGTTCTTGTTGTTTTCAAGATGGCTATAGAAACTTTCTCATGCAATAGAGCAGAGTGCAATAGTGTTGTAATTCACAGTTTTTTTAATATTCCTCTCACCCAGCATTGTTTTCTATTTGACATCTTTCTTTTTTTCTCAATAAAAAACAAACATAGTTATCAACAGAAAATCGGAAGCAGCCATTTTATTTTTCAAGATGATGTTTTCTCTTGCTTGCAAATGATTGGTTGCTTAAAATTCATAATTGCTTTTGGTTGTGTGGATCAATTTCACTAGACAAATAAAAATCACTTTTGCTATTCAATCAGTGTGAACTAAACTAACATTTATTCTGATACAATTGTATAACAACAAAAACTACGTCAACAAGCAAAATTGATGATATGTTTGTAAAACTACCAAAAATTCTAAAAATAAAAAGCAAACATTTCAATAGTATTAATACCAATAATAATAAAAACAGTAATAATATTAATAGCAGGAATAGGTTTTTTCCTCTCACAAGGAGAGCCTACGGCTTTGGGGTAACGGATTTTGATGATCTTTGGTGTAGAGGTAGTACACCTTATAAAACAATTAAATGAAGAAGGATAAAAATAAAGGCTTTAACTATGTAACTATGTAACAGTTAAAACACTTTTAGTAAATTATAAGTAGTTTAAATAATGCAAAATAAATTAAAACATTAACAATGTGAGTATTTCTTAATTATTTTTGAGCAAATGAGCAATGAATTAAATTTCTCAAATGACAAAATTAATTTCAGACTTTAATTATTACATATTAAAATCAGCTATAATGAATAAGTTTTCTAAGTTATTTTTCTCCTCGTGAATTTTACTGAATCTCATTTTTCAAGCAAATTGAGTATTTATCTAAAATTTAATTATGATAAAATTATGTAAATTTTTTACAGTTATAATTTAAAATATAAAACAAACAATGAAAAATAAGAACAAAACTGTTTTTAACATACTGTATGCCAGCATTCACACTGGAACTGGCATCATGCAATGGGTATTTCACTAAAAACAAAGTGGCCTTGTGATAAACTATAGCTGTACTACAACCCAGCAAATTTAAAACTAGCCAGTTTCAAATATAACTGGTTTTCTGGTACTTCCAGATTTCTGAAAGCTGGATATTTAGTCCAATAAATCATCTACTAAACTCCAAATACAAAAATCCATATGAAAGCTATGCAAACAATTGCAATATGAAATGTATTGCAAATAAAGAAATTAAGAACTGTGAGCATGCAAGAAAAGTAGATAATCAAAGAACTAACAATACATTTAAACAGATGAACCAATGTTCAGAAAGAAGGCATAATCTGTTATGTTAGTCAAATTTTTTTAACTCTCTCTTTCTTATTGAATATTTTTATTTCTTACTTTGAAATTATCTAATATTCAATTCATCACTTTTATAATTTTTAATTTTATAATAATATAAATAATATATTATAATNCACCTATGAGCCAACTTTCCCATCTAATGGTGACCGATCTAATTCTCACTAGGAGCGTTTTTTCTATTGGAGTTCTTTTTCACTCACTCTTTAACAGTTCGTTTCTAAATTTCGACACGAATAGACATATTTGTGTAGTAAAACTTATTTTGAAAAATTATTTTATAATCAAAAAATGTCGAGTGTTTAGCTTTTAAGTGTTTGGAAGTTTTACTTTGTCTTGTAATTTTGATAGCAAAGTGGATAAGACACTATTTTCTGAGGCCCGTTTTTCAGAAATGCTTGAGAAGTGAATCCTATCATTTGGACAAGAAACTGTTTGTGTTTAGAGCTAAGTGCTCACCAAGTTTCATTCAAATCAGAGACCCAAATGTCTGGCCATCTCCTTGTTAGATTTGATGAGTGATTGTTCACAGGTATCACATAAGCACTTCCAGTAGTTGGATTTCATAGTAAATTCATTCTCATTGCAGGTCATAATGCAACCAGAAGAGCAGTTCTGAAACCAATTCAGCAAAAGCACACTTGGAAATACAGTCATGCTTGTTTTATTTAGTAATGATGTGTGACATCCACTTCTGTGTACTCTATGTCCAGCAACTTCAGCACTCTGCAGACCACTGATAGAGCAAAGTCTAGTTCAGAAACTATCTCCTTCTGCATGATCCAAGCATAAAAAGGTGACTAGCTGCCTTACCAGATCATCACTAATCTCCTGATCTCAAGTTGTCTATTATGTGTCTTACAGTTTTGGTGCTGAATATTCCAGATCTGAATTGAATGAACGAACTTCTCACAGTGTGTTCAGATAGTCCATAGTTATCATAAATTTTTGCTAAATTTTCAATGGTCCACAGAGAATCCAAACTGCAATTTAAAGAACTGTTAATATTTTCATTAATTTTTTCTGATATTTTTGAGAATTTTTTGAAATTTACACAGATTCAGAACATAGTTTTTTACATCTTTCAAAAGTTTGCATTTTTTACTACTAACTGAATTTTTTTTTTTTGAAACCTTACCCTAAAAGTCACCTACAGGTATTTAGTAAGCACCTTTTTTGTAGCAACACTTTTCTGATTAACCTGATATTAATGTATTTTTGCAGAATGAGCAGTATGCCATATATAACTGGGAAACCAGCATGCTAGTTAAATTGTGACTAAAAAAATAAAATTAATTATATGTAACAAAACTAGTTGCTAAATAAATGTTAAAGAAAACATTCTTCAGAGTACAACAAAATAATAACATTGTAATTTGGATTTGTAACTTCAAATCAGGAAGAGTTTTTGTTCACAGAGCAATAAAACAATTAGCAACTTACTGACATTAATTACAATAGTAGTTAGTCAGTGCAGCCTCAAATTTCAAACAAAGCAGACATTAATAACTGTAAATTGAGATAATTTACAGTGAGTTTCTGAAATTTGATATGTTTATTTTTGTGTTTTTGGATCCAATTACAATAAATAAACATAAACAAAAAAGGCACTTTAGTATTCCATTAGTATTTTACATCATTAGAAAGAATACAAAATGCAGAAATTAAACATATAATCGTAGTTTTGATGTAATGCTGACAGTTTCACAATTTTAGAATAATAACTCATTTGTTTTTTCATGCACTCTCTAGACCCTCTAGAGGGGGATGTATAACCTCGCTTAAACAGGCATGCCAGCATTCCCTGGAATAAATTAGAATGCTGGTTTTTACCATACAGAAATATCTGATTTCATGGTCTCCCAGATAGACTGACAAGTCAGTCAATCTGCAAAAATACAGTATAAAATAATATAATTTAAACATTTCATATTAATCTAATGAGGAAACCTAAATAATTAAGAACTATGTAATAGGAACAATGAAATTTATGCCAGATGATTAAAAGTAGAATACTGATTAATTCCCACTTTTTTAAAAGAATATTTTAAAATTTATTCTGATTTTTAGGAAGTAATTTTTTAATTACAAAAAAAAATTATCTTACAGAATAAGTTAGAAAATAATAAATTAAATCAGAATTTTGTAATTAATAAACAATGATCAAAAAATATAAATTCAATGTACTTAAATTCTTTACTAACAGCTTCTCAAAATAATTTCAGAAATATCTATGAAAATATTTACATTCTTTATTGGATTACTGGAATTTAAAATAAAAATATTAACCATTACAAATATATGATACACTGGTGATTCAATATAATATGCTTTGATAGAATGCATGCAGCATATGGATTTCAATTTATTGTCCAGTCTCTTCAGATCCTACTGTTTTTATTACATCTTATTGTAGGCTATTAAGTTAAATTGGCAGCATCCATTGACTCAACTTGCAATATTTGCTAGCCATGTCTATACTTTCTCCTTGCTACTGTTTAATCACAGCTAAGTGCCTTGATATGGAAAAAGCTGAACAAAATAGATGGTAGGGGTGTCTGAGTAAGTTAAACAGTAAGTTCATAAACTTACTCAGAGCCATAACTAGCCATTCCTGTGCCCTGTGCAAGAATTTGCATTTAGGTCCCTTAATTTATTTGGTTTTGGGAAAATAATAAAACAAATACATTACAATAGATTTTTAATAAGATTTATTTTAATTGAATTTTTCTGGCTTTCATTTCAGCAAATTCATTAATTACACCTTCATAATTAATATTTTTAATGATATTGTATTCGATTAAAATAATAGAAATATTGGATAATTGTTCTTGTCCACTA